ATTCCCCCAGCAGCAGCACATATCCTACATCCTGCATCCCGCATGCCGCATCCCGCATTCCACATCCCTGTCCATGAAGCATTTTAATCTGCTTGACAATTTTCAGCAGCTGCTCGTTTCACTCTCAGTGCGAAAGGCAATCCTCCGACATGACATTTCACCTGCTGCTCACCTGCCAAATATCCTGCTCTCGGTCTGCATACACATATCTGTCCATATCTACAGTATATACATATATATATATGTATAAATATATAGGTATGGCTATAGCTGTAGCCATAGCAATGTATGTTCACGTTGAGTCTGCTGCACACGTCTGATGAAACTGTCAACTGTCATTTAAATTTAATCGCATGTTGTTTCTCTCGCTTTGCTGTTGTCGCCGCGATTATTGTCGCCAGTTGTAGCTGCCTCATGCCACTGCACCTCCGTTGCGCCCCGTCCCCGTCCCCATGCCTCCAAAGATTTTAATTACTGCGCCACAAAACAACAAAAGTCAACCCGGTTCCCTACACTCAAACCCCATTGCCCGATACCCCTTTCTTTCCACCTCTCCCTGCCTCCCTGCCCCAGTCTTTAGCTGCTGTCAGTTGCTTATCGCTTTGGCTTTATAAAAATAATATAAAGAGACACTCATTGGGTTGGTTTCTGCCACTGCCTCTGCCTCTGCCCCTGTCCCTGTCCCTGCCTCCGTCTCTGTCTCCATTTGTGTTTCAAGTTTCTGTTTGCTTGGTAGCTCTGCTCCATTTAGATAAGTGACACATAAATTAAGCAATTTTCCTTTTATTTTACTTGCTGTTTCACTCTGTTGCTCTCCCCTCCTTCCCTCTCCCTATCCCTCTCCCGCTCACTTATCGCCCTGCTCGCTGCGCCAGCATAATAGAATAATTATAAAACAATTGTCAAACTGCTTATGCTGCCTTCAATTCCCTTTTGCTACTCGCTTTACAGTTTTTGTGCTTTTCCACTGCAGTGGAAAAACTGGTGGAAAGTGCGAGTAGTAATGATCGCTGGTTTATTAACCCCTTCACATATTTATTTTCATAACACGCCTTCCATCACGCCCCATAAAGTTTATTTGCAGTATTATTTTTTATCATTTGAAGTACACAGCTCAAGTGTTAGATAAATATTTTGACAGCTCTGTCATAAATTGTCACTCAGATACCATTGTGATAGCAAAGCGGGCCAAATTTCAAAAGAGTTTAAGAACTGCAGACGATTTTAAGAGCAGCTAAATTGTACTTGTTAAAAAAAGAATAGCCATTAAAGCAGACGACAGACTGCTGCCTGATGACAAAAGCTTTCCGTGTCCTAAATGCAACAGCAGTAAAGATAAAAGCTATCCCTCCCTACTAACACATACCCCTCTGTCCCCCATCGCTTAAATATGAATATTTAGTTTTAGTTGGTTAACAAAGAAAAGGGTTTAAGACACATCTGACTGAGAATTGAAGCTTACTTAAGGTAATTATTAAATTCACGTTTGTAAGCAGCATTTGTTTATGTAAGGAGATGTGGAAAATCCTTATTTGTTTACTAACTGTGCCTGGGAAATTAGAAATAGTAGAAAGAGAAGTAGTCAATTGACTGAAGTTCTTACACAACAAAGTTTGCATACTTTATTTATTGTTCAGGTACAATAAATATATTTAAATTTTGAGCGCTGTGTAGATTCAAACCATAAATAAAACTAAATTTCAGATTCGATTTTTAAACGCTTCTTAGGCACATGTCAAACTTATCACAATCAAATCAGCTAGAAATGTTTGCTATGAGAACATCCATCTAAAAATGATCTTTTGAACAGAAATAATGGTTTTATCTTATGTGAATTTTAGTTAGACAAAGCAAGCATTGTCATTTGCTGAATGCCAGCCGACACCTCATCTCGAGTCGAACGTCAGGCGTCAAAGTCAGGCTCATCACGGAGTCAGCAGAAAGCGCTGCTTTGTTCAATTCTGTCGCTGTGCTAAGCATTTCTTACCTGGCCAAGTGCCGAGAGCAGCACTCACAGTTGTTATTTGGCCAACCGATTAACACCCTTGAAGTGGATGTTTCAACACGAAACTCGTTCCCATCGCCAACAAACTCGCACTGAAAGAATCAGCCGAGTAACTGCCAACTGGCAACTGGCAACTGGCAGCAAAAGCTTTTTTCCTTTTGTGCTGACAAGACCTTTGTATATATTTTTTGTTGTTGCTTTTGGTTTGGCTTATAATCAAATGCAATGGCATGACTAAAATGGAATCTTTCTGTCTACACTTCATCAACATGCGGGGCCCCAAATGACTCAAATACTGTCAGACCAGCTGACAGACAGAAAGTCAACGCAACATCCCGAACCCAAACCCAAAGCCAAACCCAAACCCAACGCCAAAGCCAATGCCAAACCCAGGAGCAGGCGCAGACCCAACCCGTTCTCAACACGCATTCCTCATGCCATACAAAACAATTGACATGATTTGTTGTTGTTTTGCTGTCGTTGTTGTTGCTGCTGTTGTTGTTGTTATTGTTGCTGCAATGACAGCAGTGAATTGTCACAGCAAGAGCAGAAGCAAGAGTAGCAAGCGTCGCTGCCCAGTCTCCTTTATCGGGCTGCCCGACTGAAAAATGCAATTTTCCAAAATGGCCAACAAAAGGTTGGCACTCAGAACGGGTTTGCCCCGAAAGGACTCGTCTGACTGGTACTGGTTGCTTCCTCAACACCGGCAACAGCCAATTCATTTATCAATAGTGCGATCCCCGAGCCCCCAATTCTCGATTACCGATTGCCCATCTGCGATCCACCAGCTCTTGAGCCGGTTTCAATACAATTTCAGACTCAGCCTCAGACTAGCTGACTAACTGACTGCCTCACTGTCTCTCTGGCTCTCTGTCTCTCTGTCTGACTATCTGACTGTCTGATATCATTGCTGTCGTTTGCTCCTCTGCCGCAAAATTAAGATCAATATCGAGTCTCGAACCGGGCGATGGCTGTTCCTGCATCGGCAGGTGGCATTCGTATTCCGTTTGTGGCCACTCTACTCTACTCTCTACTCTCTCATTCTCATTCCCGTCCTCGTTCTCGTTCTCCCTCGCTCATTCTTTATCTCTCTGTCTCTGTAGCTCTGTTCCTCTTTGAAATCTGTGATTTATTTCGAGTTTCCAGTGGCGGAAATCGCTTAATACGTGGGACGTGAAACGTGGATCGCATTCGGGTTTAGTTTTGAATTCAATTGGCGCGCTTTGAAACTCGACTGGCAACCCAACCGCCACCCATAGCCACTTATCCTCCTTTCTAAGCCACGTTGCCACCCATTTAAGCGGCATTTTTACAGGCGACTCCCCGCTGCTGCATTGCCCCCCACTCGCCCCGGGTAACTTCATTCTGCGCAGTTATTTATTGTATTCGGTTATCAGCATTTTCCAGGCGCTTATAAATTTCGTTGCGCTTATTTCGCTAAGGAACTGCAACTATCATGACTTTTATGGCAAGGCCTTCCATTTGCAGCCATTCAATTCACAGCTGCCACACAGCGGCGCCACCAGAATGCTTTGATAATTGTATATAAATTTAAAGTTGATCAATTTGTTCAAATGCACTTTTTTTGTTGTTATTAGCTTGCTTCATTAGTGAAAACAATATTGAATAGCTGGTTTAATACTGCTAATTATAAAGTCAAATAGAAGCCACCTTCAAGTGGGTAAACAGGCCATGGAAATTAATTGAAAGTATCAGCGAGTCAATCAGGCGCGACAAATTTGTGGCAAGCGACTGGAAAACGCAACAAGTTCTGACAGCTGCAAAAAAAAGGCAAAGTGAAAACTGAATTAGCATGTCATAAAAAAAAGGGGGCCAGAGACACTAACAACAGCTAATCGATAATTTATGAGCACAAACATTGATAGGGGAGGGGCGGGTTAACCCGCAACATGTTTATAAATAGCGCTAATGAGCAGAGCAAGCGAACAAATCCCAACTGCGACTCGTGTGCTGTCAGTCACTCAGTTCACTTCGATTCATTGCGGTGTCAATGGATGTCGACAACAACAACAACAACAGCAACAACACAAACAACAATAAATACAACAATAAATACAACACATTGACTGCAAGAGGTAAACAGAGTGAAAGAGGTAAGGGTAGACTGTAAATTGTTTAAACAAGCGTCGGCACATTGACTTTGAACTAATGTATGTACAAGTATTTGATAGCACAGACGAGGACGGGTTGTTGTTGTTGTTGTTGTTGCTGTTTAAGCAATCATTGTGTAAATATTTACCCGAAAGGTAAAGTTAAAATTAAGCACTAAGCACTAGGCAGAGAGATAGCTCTGCCACCCTCGGGTCTTGAAAACCTCAAACTCCGTTTATATGTGTCATAATTGACGGCTGTTGCATTAACCGAGTATTTGCCTCAAATATTTGTGCTGCATTTCTGCCTGATGCAGACATTAAATGTTACATATTGCAAGCAATCGGAAGCGCAGACATCTGCCAACGCAAATAACATGCAACTTGAATGAATCCACAATATTTATGCAACATGCCACTGCCTTTGGCAAACTTAAGCTGCTGCCGCATTGTGGCTTACCTGCCTGTCTATGCCAATCTAAACCAAATGTGCGTCAACATAACAAGCGAATATGGCTGCCAATCGTGGCAATTGTGTAGCATTTGTGGTTTCAAGTCGCTTAAATAATTATTAAGCACCTTTTATACCAGTTTATCTCTTCTCTACGAGTGTTCAAGTTTAGTTCTTTGAATTGCACTGTGTAATACATAAGCCTGATAAAACCTTCTCTTAAACAAATCGATTAAATAAAATGTATAGAAATAACATTCATAATTTGTAATCATTTGTTTTAATTGCATTTTAATTATTTTATTTATACGCTATTGTTTTTTAACAAGAACTAAATACAATACACAATATTAAAAAAGGCTTATTCAAATTTGAAATTAATAATTATTTTATTCTCTGCTAAATGCATTCTCCGCTTTTTTATGTTTTGCAGGTGACATTCTCTCTGGCGTGTGTTTTGTGGGACAACTGGACACACACTCTCTGGGCGGCTTTCTAATACTGCCGCTGTGCATTTATCTGTCGATTGGCGCTCTCTTTCTGTTGGCCGGCTTCATCTCGCTCTTTCGCATACGCACCGTGATGAAGACGGATGGGAAGCGAACGGATAAACTGGAGCGGCTCATGTTGCGCATTGGCTTCTTCTCGGGCCTGTTCATACTGCCTGCTTTGGGTTTGCTGGGCTGCCTGTTCTATGAGTACTACAACTTTGACGAGTGGATGATTCAGTGGCATCGCGACATTTGCAAGCCATTCTCCATACCATGTCCGGCTGCCCGGGCGCCGGGTACGCCCGAGGCGCGTCCCATATTCCAGATCTATATGGTGAAGTATCTGTGCTCCATGCTCGTTGGAGTGACGTCCAGCGTGTGGCTCTACTCCAGCAAGACAATGGTCAGCTGGCGCAACTTTGTGGAGCGACTCCAGGGCAAGGAGCCCCGCACCCGGGCCCAGGCGTATGTCTAGTATGAGACGGCGGCGGCGGCGGCTGAGGTGGCGGCTAACGAAAGTTACTTAGCGTTTAGCACGTAGAATCCTAGAGTCCCCCTCACCCCCAACTCCCCCCGCCAAATGCACACACACACACAGAGACATACACTCAAATATATATGTACTTCAAAACGCAGTCGTAGTTATAGCTTAACCTCATACAAGCTTTGTATAAAGTTCATCTCTGTCCCTAATCCACACCCCGAAACAAAATCAAAACTCTACCCTAAGCTATTGTTTAATATTTAGTTACATATATGAAAGCTAAGCGTGGCTTTCTTTGTTGAACCAAAACTATGCGCATAAGTTGAGCATTTAGTTGATAAGTGTATTTTTAGTGGGTCTAGTGCTCTAGTGTTCGAGTATCCTAATCCTAGTTGTTATTGACCCATCCACTTTTACTGCTCTCGCTTCCCTTTCCGCAGCTGCAAATGGTATACGAATTTTACAAGTGCTTTCCTTTTTTCAGCTTCTTCACAATTTCACTTTTCAAACGACGCATTCAATTTGAACTAGTTTGCATTTAAGTAGGTTTTTGAACAATTTTATTTGAGAAAGCTTTAAATGTGCCCTACGGTTAATTAAGCATGCATATAAATGTGCAAATTCTTATTTTTAAGAATCAGAGCTGATGTGAAATTTGACAGCTTCTCAATGAGCCCCATTAACAGTCAGTCAGATTTTCCACACAAATCAACAAGATGATTTTCCACATCAAATTCACATTATTTATTTTCGACACCCGCAATTCTTAATTCATTGAAGTTGAAGTTCAAGTCAAATTTCGCATCAAACATATTATAAGAAAATATTCGTACTAAATGGGAAAATAAAGCAAACAAAAAAGAGAGAAATCCTAGATATAAGATATAAAATGCTTGAAACTTAATTTAAAGCTAAATGTAAAGTAAAAACCATATATACATAAAAATATATTTAATTATTCATATGTATGAACAAAAAGAACCTACTTACTAAATATATATATATATATATATATATATATATATATATATATATATATGTGAATGTATTATGTAGCAATAAATGTCCTCCATGTGCTAAACTCACAGCAAAACTTATAATTATTGTATATTTATGTATGTATTTGTTAAACTAATTAATTTTTAAAGCCAAACGCGTTTTTATTAAATTTTTAATGACGTTGTAGTCATAACACTTAAGAACGGACCCTCAAATATTCAATTGCAAAACTAATCATTTAAGGGACAAATTTAATAATAAACAAAAGAACAACAAATTAAAAACTGCCATTTAAATATGTATTTGTTAACGAGGGTCCCACTAAAACACCTACTGTTGACAATTTGTTTTTGCGTACAATTTTAATACTAATTTTGGTAATTCCAAATAATAATTCGCATAGCATTTAAGTGAACAATTGAAGCGTAAGATGCAAATGAAATTCATTTCTATTATGATAATTGCTGTAAAATATAGAACAGTGTAAAACTACGATTACAAAATATAAATTGAACAATTGTAAGTGTGTATACATATTAAATAACAAATAACAAATGGCAAATGCTAAAACAAAAACCAATATGAACAAATAAAACTTTATTTTATTGTTAAAGACTGAATGACTAAAATGTTTTTCTTTGTGGGTCTGACCTGAATTCACCTGTCAGCTGGAGGAGTCTTATTCATCGATTTCAAATCGAATAGAATCGACAAATGAGTTTTATTTTAACTCAGCCATCTAATCAACTAATTACAGCCGTTCAGGATCAAGCAAACTTCATCGCCTATAAGAAAATATATCTGATATAATTTAAGAGTTATAGCAAACAAATTACAAAGGTCTACGGATAACATTTTCGATAGTGTTCTGCCAACACTCAGATATATTGTATATATGTTTATCATATAAAAAATGACTTTCTATTTCAAGAAATATTGTTTCGTAAACTTAGAACATTTTTCTAAAAATAGGAACATTTTCAAAGTGTGTGAAAAAAGACATTTTGCAAAGAGACGCACCATCAATTCGTTAGGAGCACCTTATTGAAAAGACTGTCTGCTCTCAGCCGTATGAGAACGCATATACAAAATTAATCGAGCGTCAGACACTTTATTATAACAACTATTTGCTGTAAGATGGAATTTGTAGTTCTCATCTGCAACTAATTACATTGCAGACAATAAGCACTCATGTTCAATGTTTTCGACCAAAAACTTTTCTCATTACAGCGAACTAAAGCTGAAGCTTATCCCTTCCCTTATATAGCCCAATCCCATCGTCTCCCTACACCCAACCACACACATGAAACATACACTCAAAAAGCTGACCAAAAAGCAGCTTCAAATTCAATCATAACTTGCCAACTCCCGCAGCTATGGCTACAGAACCGACTATGCAAGCAGCCACCTCCTCAACCCCACCTTGCCTCTTATCAACGACGGTTCACACTTACGCCACATCGCCGGGAAAGTTGAAATGGGGGTCAGGGGTATGGGAAAACACACGCCCATATAATTTTGATTACACTTGTTTTCTAAATACTCCGACCATAAAGGAACCGCAGAGAAACACATGTGCGGGCAAATAAAATCCAGGACTACTGCACGTTAGAGAACCGAAGCGTCTGCTCCCTGTGAGGGAAGAGCGGGAGGGGGTGTCGGTTGCATGGTTTAAGCGCCTTAGCAACAAATTACTGTTAAAAACGACGGCCAGAAATCTGCGTTGCTTTGTTGCTGCCCACACTCCACTCCATTTTCTCTCTCTCTCCTGTCTCTCCTGTCTCTCCTCTCTATCCCTCTTGCTCTGGCCGAAACAAACACGCAGAACGCGGCACACGTACGTAAGGATATGAAGGATATGACGCTGTTTTACAAAACACGTGTGCGATTTAACAACTACAATAAAAACAATAAGAACAAAATACAATAACAAGCACAGCAACAACTACAAATGCAGCCAAAAGCAAGCAAAACTTTTTCCCAAAAAAAAAAATAACAAAAAAAAAAGAATTCAATATGGCTGCGAGTTTTGTTGCGTTTTTATGTAACCGCCATAAAAAAGTTATTAATGTGTGTGTGTAGGCGGGAGTTTGCCCCTGTGTGTATGTGTGTGTGTGTGTGTGTGAGTATGCTGCACACGGCACAAAATGGCGCGGGCGTGTGCAAGCGTTAATGTGGCAAAATGCTTTTGCAATGAACTTTGCTATGCTGGCGTTGGTAACTTTTCAAATGCCCTAAGTTAGTGAGAGTATTACAGGCCAGTCTTGAATTGTGAAATTAAAATTATATTTTAACATACGCATCCCAATCCACTATTAATTCGTTGATCGAGAATTTTGCTGCATTTACTATTTATCATTTATTTATTTGTTTATTTTATTTTCTTTTTATTCAGCCTGAAAATTCGATATTTGTATCTATACATTTTAAAATTGTATCAGAAAGGTTGACATGCATATATATTTACACCAGTCCTATTTATCCTTTCACTTAATACTCATATTTCGAACAATTATTCCTATGGCAGCTATATAACATAGGGATTTCGATCCAGTCGAGCGTCTATTCCTCAATGACCGAAGCAATAAGACGCAGACACGGTCATGTGTATATATATCAACTCGGCTAATAATGCTGATGAAGAATATATATACATTTTAATATCATCAAAAAGGATATACAAATTTATAGATTTATAGATAGTTTAAGAATTATTATGGTGCAGTTAAGATTCTGTGAATCGTGTTATGGGATTTTTAAATCTATTAACATTTAGTAGTAAATTAAATAAAAATAAATAAAATGTTAGGCCTATTAGTAAGCACATAAAATCCTAGTTTACTAGAGTATTTGTAGTTCGTTTTGACCACATCAAACATGTTTTATTTCACTTTTATTATTTGTATTGCACTTTTTCTCCGTGTGGCGGTGTGAAAATCATAAAGAAAACATATGAGTGGATGGAAGTTACTAAAAATAAAAGTGCGAACTTCGCTCGAGCAGCAAAGGGGGCCAGCTACAAAAGTGAACGCACCCAAAGAGAATCCTGCACAACATTCCCCTGTTCCCCATCTAGGACTCCAAATGGACAAAAGCGATAGTTTGTAAAAATCCGGTTTCAGTTAACTCGCAGCATACTTTCTGGCATTTTATTTGGGGAATATTGTGTAACCAGGAAGCTCAGGCAGCCAAGAAACTTATTTCACTAAAGACTTTGAGACTGAAACAGTATTTTATTTCGACAAATTTCATACACAAATATTCGGATTCAATACCGTAGAAGTATGTCTATCAAATTTTGGATTATCACAACACTCTTATCAGTGGCCATAGCACACATCTATGTGAACCCGGCTATCTTTGAGCAGACCGCTATGCGAGTAAGATCGAACCTCTCCAAGTATATGACTGCTATATGGTTTGAGAGTGCTGACAGCTGGATGAAAGTAAAGGGGGAGCTGAAATCGAAGCTTCAAGCGGGCCAGCAGCTGGTGGTTGAGGCCCAAAAGAGAATAGCTGAAGTTCGGAAAAAGCGCGAAATGAGATTAGCGCTTGAGTCTGGCTTAAGGGAAAAGTCAACCATAGTTCGCAAACCAGGATGGAACTTACATTTTTCCATTTAAAATTGTATTTGCTCGGTGATAAATATCACGATGTCGCAGTGTGAAAAGAAAAGAAAAACATTTTAATTTAATTAATTTCAAATACTTTGGCAGACAGCTGCAAAGTAGAGCACCAGCGAAAAACTGCAAAACGTGGACGTATTTAATTGCAATTTCCAATTAGGAAATGTCCAGGCGGACACAGCTGGAAAATAAAAATAGTCATGTTTTGTACAACTCATTGACTTTGGCTGTTTGACAAAGTCAGAGTATAGAGTTCAGTAAAAACATTATGCAACAACATCATGATTTAGGAAAAGCACATTAATAGTTCTGCTTTAATACAAGAGCTCTCAAAAATCTGAGTAGATGCGCGCAACTGCAGCTCAATGAAATTTTATGACCACTGTGCCCCCCTCCAGGAACTAGTGAATAGTTTAAGTCTTTAAGGGAAGGGAGCCACTGGCACAAACAATGGGAAAGTTAATTGCTCGACCAACTAACAACCCCATCGAGAACAACTTGAGCAAACTCAGCCCCCCAACGCAATTTCGACGCCTGCAATTTGCCGCACAATTGCGGAGCAGTCGTCAAGGAATCCTGTCGAGAAGCCAGTCAAAAAATCAGAGCAATCTTCAAGTGCTCGGCAGGGTGTGAGCATGTGGATCAGGAGGAGTGTGGGAAGGGGATAGGAAATTAAATGGAGAAAGGGGGAAGGATGGCTAATGGCAATAATGCCAATATTTGTCAGCTGCCAACAATTGCAGCCACTTTTGTGGGCTGCTAATTTCTGTCGAAGCAGTCAATTAAATTTTCAGCAAGGACTCGACTGACATCTTCAACTTTTCGGGATTAAAACGGTGCCAAATGAATAAATGATGGGGCATGAATGTCAATCAGAGTTAAGCATCGGAAATGAAGACAAACAATCGCTCCGAAATGACTGGACACAAATTGAAATACGAGTAAATCCCATTGCCAAGGGAATGAGGATGGGGTTGGTAACGGGTAGAGGTTGACTGTGGACTGCAGAGGGCGTTACGAACTTCACTAGTGATGAGTCATGTTTGGGGGCACGGGGCGACAATGCCATTAGCGAGCAATGTGGCCTCTGCGGGGAGGCATAAATTATTAGCCAAAGCCACGCCCACAAATTGATAAAGTTTTGCCTTCGCACACTAACAAATGACAGTTGGCGCAAAAGTTTTTCGGTGCCATTCCGAAATCGATTTTAATGGCATCGCAAATAACGCAATGAAAATATAGTCTGTAAATTTGGCAAGCCGAGAAAACAGTTGAGTTGTTTATGCAGCAAGCACACAGCACCCAACCAGGAGGAGGATAGGGCTAAGCAGCGTGTGGGGATAAG